TCTCAGGCAGTTCCTCCTATCGCTTATGCGCTCCCTCGTCTCCACTCCGGGTTTGACAGCTAATTAGAAACCACCTCTAAAGTAAACTTCTTCTCTCCATTTCTTTCAACCAAACTGCTGACTGTGAGCCCTCTCATCTTGACGGCAATGCAGTTGGTTGACAGACTCTCTGCTCAGTTGTGTGTGTGTGTGTGTTTGTGTGTGTGTGTGTGTGTGTCTACTACAGTCAGTGGTGTGTACCCCCTGCTCTACTAAACCATCTGAAAGGAGATTTGGCCTTGTCTTTGACCACAGCAGCAGGCGCTTATTTGACGTGTTTTAGATAAAAAAATGTACCCTCTAGGCCTCCGTTCACACAAAAGTGAGAGAAACAGTGAAAAAGGGCTGACAGCTGAAGTTCAGCTACATGCAAACACACACAAACACAGTGAATCTTTTCAGAGTCTGCGATGTGTTTCCGTCAACAAGATTTGGCCATAAAGCTAGCTGACAGCAGCTTAAAGGTCTTTGTGCCAAACTGATTGTGATCAATAAAAACACCTGTCACTGCTCCCATCTATGGGGCTTACAAGGGAGACAGGGGCATTACAGGCCATACCAGGGGGCCAAATGCACACACACACACAAACACACACTCTCTCCCTCTCGAATGCAAACACACGGGGGTGCCTTATCTCTCATAGCCCAGTCCCACAGCGATGAGTCAGCACTCGTCTCACCAGCTGCTTTTCCAAATCACCACACTCAACACACAGCATGTTTTAAGCAACACACACACACACACACACACACACACACACACACACACACACACACACTTCACAATATTAATTAGGTGCACAGAACTGCACCTCCCTCTGCTTTTTAGTCTTCACAATTGATACAAAACAAACATGAACACAACTCGCAAACACTCGCTCACTTTGAAATCCTTTTGACAAGACATTAAATGGTCCACTAGCCTAAGTGGTTGGCTCAGAGGGCTGATCTCATCCACTTAGCTTTCAACACCCATCCCTCTACCCTTCCATTCATCCTATATCTATGCAGACCGTGTCTGTATTCACTGGAATATTAATAATTAAGTTAATTAAGACTGCAACATCAACAATATCAGTATTCTGTATCGGTGCTCTCTGATCAAATTTCTGATCAATTATTGGGCTGGAAACCTCACACTTACACTGTGCATGCATACACACACACATACATAAAATAACACTTTACAAAATAGTCATCTTGGTTAATAACACAATGTATGACAAAACTAAATTAATATATACAATATCAAACAGTATAAAAATCTCTTTTTAGGTCTATTTTAGGTCTATGTTACATTATCATGTCTCCCCTTGTGCCTATAGCCACAGTCAAATCCTTGTTATAAAAAAGTATGTTCCTTCCCTACTAACTCATGTATGGTTCAAAGCGCATAGTTTTTTCAAATTTCAAAAAGGTGGCAGCATGAGAGAAAGGAATTTTCGTGAAAAAGGGTATATGAGTAAATCATAAAGAACTCAGAGTAAGGTCCACATCCATATTGTTGCAGTCTATATAGAAAGTCTTGAGCTGCTGTGAGTAGTGTCCACATGCTGCCCTTTCTTTGTTCATGGCTTAAGGTGGCTTTGACCCTTGCAGATATCAGTCTGTGCACGGCCTCTTTTCAGCCAGGAAATTGTTCAGCAGCAACAAATGCAGCCTCTGGCCGGGTGGTGGGCAGGCTCAGCTCCAGATGCTGGAATTCACCCTCCTCTGACTCCCCGTTGACTATGCATTCCCAGGAAATACAGTCTGATTGGTGTCAATGTGACAGACGAACTCAAGTAGCAGACATATATAACCCTCAGGGTGAGCGTCTGAAGAGTGCCATACCGTTATACTATGCATGTAGACCATGGCAGCAATGTGTGCAAGCCTCCAGTCACAACTTGTTGAAATGTTCACACGTCACTCACCACTCCTCATTGCACTGTCTCCTTAAATTAGTCAACAATGTCATTAATTGCATGCTTTACTCATGAGCCTCCGGCACGTGTTTTCAGTTTACCTGTCGCTTACATAATTTCCAGCTAGGAATGATAGTGAACGCAGAATTATTCGATTCCAGGTAACTGGGAAAGAAATCCTCTATATAAGTGACCTGAATGTCTAGTGACCTACCTTATTGTTATTTCTTTCAGTTGGAATCACAACAGAAACCAGCTGTTACGATATATATACGGGTTACAAATCCTACTAAATTAATGATATCAAGCTCATTATTCTGTGACTTTACTATGTCCTGAATAAATGGATGTCTACACAAGACAAAAATAATATGCATCCATATTATCTCCTTTCTGTTCTCTTGTTTCTTCTTTGTTGTTTGGCTATAAAACCAATAGGTTTCATCCATAACTGCCTCTCTTCTGTATTCATAATCAATTTAAGCCCAACCAACGCACATGTTGTTTTTGGTTCGGATACCTTGTTTTCACCATGCTTTAACCAAAACCTCACCCTCTCATATGAAGGACAGACCTCCAGCGCAGTGAGCACACTGGCATTAGCACCCAGGGCCATACTTGCCAGCTTTTGAAGAAAATGCCAAATTCAATTTCGTATCGAGTATAGTGGCGCCTTCAGTCCCTCTTCTAACACACACAGCAATTCCAAAGTGTGTTAAGCTGAACTGCAGGGACACAAATGTGTGCTGTGTTCTCCAGCAGGGTTCAGATGGTGAAGGTGCTGATTACTGTGGTCACCAGGGAGAAAAAGAGAAAAGAGCTGGCAGGTCTGAAAGAGTTCTTTATAAGTAGGTTTTAACTACTTAGTTAACCCTCAGTATAAACAAACTGCATGGAGACATTCTCAATACAACTGAAAGCTTAGCCAGAGCTCTTCCACAGAAACTGAGCAGTGTGTCATTTATTACGGCTCTATGATATCAGAGCTGGCTGCTTTGGCCAAATTACACACTGTTGTATTCCAGACATGACATACTTGTAGCAACGTGTATATGGATGCATAAGAAAGACTCTGGGCTGTGTTCAGATATTATCTTTGACGGACTCTGATGGCGTGAGTGATGTACCACTAATATCAACTGACAGAGATTATGAAGAACTTGAAACTGTCTTGTCTCTGGGACATTACCAGGGAATTCTAAGATTGCCTGAATTGGGCTAGCCCTTGTTTGTGGCTCTCATGTATTAGCATAGTTTCGGGTTTTTCATGCAGCCAATGGAAATATTTTTTCATCCAGGTGATTAGAAGAGACTTTAAAGGATTTGAAAATATCATCAGAACAGCCGAAAGTGTTTATAAGCAACTGTCTTGTTTCTGTCAAACATCAAGCACTTTTTAGAGAAACCTGTGGTTACCTCTGTGACCCAGATGCATGCTAATACAGGTACAAACTGTGGCTAGACCTGACGCCTCTCCGATAGCCCAAACTGTGGGTTTTCAACTCACCATACCCATAGACCATGAGGACATAGCAACCATGCCCAGACATGCGATACATTTTTTTTATATTGAAATAATTACATAAATTAAAGACTGGGAATATGAAAGGGCATAATTTGACATAAATCTGTTTGTGATTTCAGCTTTAGAGACTGAAAGCATGCACAATGACATTAATTCAACACATAACCACTGTACTTTCCAAAGATCAAAAATACTTTCAATATTATAAGTCTACACACTTGTGAGGCAATATGTGACCCACTTCAACCATATGCCTCTGTCATACGTGTATCTTCAATGGTTTTTAGAAGTGTTATTAGCACATATTCATTCGTTGGGTTTTGGTCTCAATGTAAATAAATGTACTGATGATAACACAGAGAGAATAAAATAGTATCACACACACTGACTTCACCCAGTAGTGGGGTTAGAGTGAGGTCTATCAAAAACACAAAAAATACCACTGACCAAACTCCTGGTGAAAGTAACTTAAATCTTCAAAAAGGGGAAACCAATAACATGACATTTCATCAAATGTAGCATCTTAAGATCTAGCTAAATGATTATTACTGTCACATTTGGTTTTCAAATGATAGACAATAGACAGACAGCAGGGCAAACTGCCCCCTTTATGATATCATGTCTGTTGTACTGAATCTAAACAAAATACAGAATTAAGTAGCTTTCTACAATAGGAGCTCTCGTGCTTTACTGACCTGAGATTGCCTTCAGTTTCCCATGCTTTAAAAACACTTATCTTAAATCTACAGATAAGGCTTAGCTTAACCCAGTAACAGGCAAACTCTCTGCCAAGGCCTTACATAACGCATGCCAGCCATCTCTTAACATAGAAAAAAAAAGAAGTGTAACACAGGAATCATATTTACAGCTACAACATGACCTGGTCTGTTTGGAGATGATCTAATTTAGGAAATAAGGACACCAGACAAACAAAGTTGCTGCCCTGGAGGGGATCTGTGAAAGAAGCAGCTGAGAAAGTTATGAGAGTCACTCTTAAGTGCAGAACTGGGTCTTTGTTTCAAGTCCATTAAATTACAGTTCATACGGTTGGCCTCAAATACATAATGACAGATGTCTGTGTGTCTTTGTTCATCTCCACTTAATATGAGCCCAAACCATTTGGTTCAGCGTGTCTGAATTAAGACTAGAGCAAGTGGTGATGTCACAATATAAGTGAAGGATGAATCATAATATGACTTCAGGGAAATGGTAGCCAGACACAAGACCTTCGGATGAAACAAAGCGGATTAGTGTCAAAGCCATGAAGACACAGGGTCAGTGGGATGGGTTACTGGCCACGGATGATGTTGAGGATCTATAATCAGCTGATCTAGCCTCATATATTGTTTGACCATCACCGGTTTATTCTCCTTTTCTATCAGCTACTGAAAGGCAGAAAAAAAATGGGCCACACATCACACGAGATTAACTAAACCCCAGGTTTTTTTTTATGTTATTTGATCAACCTTGTGACAAAAACACACCGGCTAGCTGGGCATGTGTTGGTCAAAACAGTTGGTCAAAGTTACCTGATAGGGGGGCGGTGGCTCCTGGTCGGGGTCAGCACCGTCTCCGTAGCTGGCCCGGTCCGACTGAGATTCGTGTAGCAAAGAAATATCATCCGAGGTCGGAGATTTCAGACAGTTTCCCATCTCCTCCCTCTTCGGTCAAACTCTCCCCTCTCTCGGTGTCGCTTTACCAGCGTCAAAAACAGTGGTGGAGTTCACGGGCCAGTCTCGCAGACAATGTCAGCGAGTGAGAAGGCGTCGATACGGCGTTTTTTCCATACACAAGCCGATGAATCTCCTCTCCCAGACGACGGGAGGGCTGCTCGGTTTAACAACAACAAAACATCCCTCACTCAGCTAGCAGCTAGCCACACAAAGAGCAAGCCTGCTAACGGCAGCTAGCACTCGCAGGGGAGCATCTACTCGGTTCGGCTGGGGAAAAAAAATGTTTTTTTTTTTAAATCACGAATGAAACAACCTCGCAGAATTTTATATCCGGAGACACAGCGAAGCGAGCACGGTGTTTTAAATCCGCTATTTAAAACGACAAACCCTGGGCGCTGTTGTCCTGACTGAAGCCTCTCTGGTTGTCAGGGACTTTCCAGTTTGCAGCTGCCGAATAACGACAAAGGTGGTGATGTAGCGATACGAAGCCCCGCCCCCTCTGGAAAAAAAGGGCCAATTAGCTTTCACCTACGTCCAGGAAGCTCTCACCCGCAGCCAATCAGATTCGTGATCACGTGGCCGTTCGGTAAAAACGTAAACACAGGTCCAAAATCGAGGAATTAGTCTTTGTTGTCGCAATTTTGGGGCAGTTTTGCCATGACCAGTGTTATCCACAATTTATTTCACGGTCGCACATCAATTCATGGTTGCTGTTACTCGTCAATTTAAGTCCTGTGTGTATTTTTTTGAATTGGATATGACTCGCATATTATTCCAAACCCCCCTTATCTTCTTATCCGTGGCTGCCATTGCCTTGCATATTACAAGATGAGACGACTTTGCTGTAACTACTGGATTAGATCACACGCATGAGAACAGCGGGTGCAAAGATATGAATACACATGAATGCATTGTGTTCTTGTCCTGTAAATTATAACACATTGTACTGTGCACATTGCACTTTGTAATTGTGTAAGGGTTTTTTTTTGTAGTGCACAAAAGACAAAAAAAAAAGACAATAAAAATGGGATGTGTTTTTTTTTTTTAGTTGCGTATCATCATTTCATCTTAAATTACAATAGAAACATTCAGTATGTACAGGAATGTCATTTTGCTGAGTGGTAGCCGTGCCCAATAAAATGTGCTGATTGTAAACATCACAATGCCACTAAATTTGGTTAGAGTTTCTTTCAGATGTATCTGAAAAACCCAAAAGGAAGGAAAGGAAGGGAAAAAAAGAAAAATAAGCTAAATTCATTATTAGAAAATAAAATATGATTCGTTACTGGAATATTCCAGAGAGCGACTGCTGTTAAAACAATATTGAAAGTACATTTCCTTCACCATTAAAAACATTGAAATTGACTCCTAGCATCATCTTGGATCCCAAACCTTACTCTAATCATGAATAAATCAGCAGTGCTCTAATTCCAACACTTGAGACACCATCTGAGTTTCTTGGTTTTGGACGCTCTGTTGCTGTGACACAGCCCTTGAAATAACCTCACCACCAACACAATTAGAGGTGACCCTATTCTGTCTTCTCATTTCAATCATTATAAGCACTTGTTCATATACAGATTATTATTTGACACAGGATAATAGTTGTGATGTTCAAGCCCCACTAAAGATGGTTCTACTCAAGCATGGCTGATATGGGAGCAGTTCACAAAGTAGGAAGACTTTGGTGATTCCCGTTCATAGCTTCTTCAGTCACTAAGATGCGACAGGCGGACAAGCACGCAGTCCTTCGCTCCACGGAGTGAATGGCCTGTTTGTTCAAGCTCAAGTACTGTTGGAGCCTGTCCCACACACCAGGAGGAGAAAAGGAGGGAGCCTGCCTTTCTAAAAGACACATTCATCTGTCCTCTTAAAATGGGACAATTTGTGTAAAAGGTGCCATTTACAGTATATACATGTAAAGAACAACTCGTACTGCTGATTTTTTGACTCTGGAGAGTTTGCGTGGCTGGCTGATATACATAGCTTTGTGCAAAAGCCATTACTTGTGATTGTAAATACAACAGGGTTGCAGATTTGAACAATTCTTCAGAAGGAGACTGAAAGAAAGTATTCCACATGAATACATTTGTCTTTTTCAATGTTTCACTAGGTTTCAAGGAAAGGAAGAACATTTAAAATAAACAATAAAACATTTACTCACTCTGAGAAACACAATGAACCAGACGTTTATAGTGTAAAAGTGAATCCAACATATAAAGAATTTATACATCTGATTAGGTCATATCGGGGTTTGGTTTTCAAAAATCGAAATGTGGGTGAAACCTGTCAACCAACATGTATCAAATGACACAGTACAAAACAGTCTCATAGTCCTTGTGGACTACGTGGTGAGTTGTATGATATAATCCCGATGTCAAACTATGTTAACACATAATTATGTGTCATCCCCCACCTACTCAAGTCATTTTATCAATAACTGCTCATTTACGTCAAATAAAACAAAAGTGGGAGAGCTTTGTAACCAGGTCAAATGGTGTTATTGGCCAGAAGGAGTTAGTGTCAGTAATTTAATGGGGGCTGTTTGGTACTCTGGCTCCATCAGATCTAACCCTACTACCCCGAAATGAGGCACATTTTTACCTTGGGTAGTAATGGAGGTAATCTGTAGTATATACTTCACAAATGTGACCTTGTTTTCTACCCTAGTGCGCCCCTAATGGGTGGCCACAGTGCTAGACAAACAAGCCTGCTAGAAGCGATGTTTCATAAATATAGGCACATTTCTCAACTTGTCTATTTCAAATCACACAAGGAAGTGAAGTTCATCATAGTGTAATTCTGGAAGAGGGCGTTGCAACCTGTCTAAGACAGTCACGGCCACATAGAGCTGCAGTCGCCCGTAAGGGCGACACACATAAGAAAGAAAGCATCCCTCTTCCCCTAGCCTTGTGATGAAAAAAACAAAACAAATCATCAGCCCTAATGGGCGGGGCTGGACTGGGCTGAGTGTTGCATTGTGGGACTGCAGAAACAGAAAGCTGTCTCAGCTCTAGTGTGCCCTCCTCTGTTTGTTATGGGCTGGAGGGAACATGGGTGCCATTTTCCCCCGTGCCCTTGGCCTTGTGCAAAGCAGCCTGAATGCGGAAGTGTGTCCGTGATTCCATCGAGTAGTTTTTGTAATTTTGCCTGAAACAGAGCAAAAAGAGTAATTTACATCGGGGATAAATCTCTAAATTCTTCTTTCACACATGGACATGAGACTAAACCCATAAATCACAACACACACTTTAAGATTTATTTAAACCCACAAAGATGAATGGGGGTGTCATATTAAAATTAAAACACAATGTCAAAAGAAATGACTTGTAGTTATTTATGTGAAAAAATATAAGGCATATTAAACATTTAATTAAATTGCTGCAAGCAAGTGGTCAAGCTGGTTGAATTACTTACTTAGCTGCTTCTAGGAGTTTGATAGCTTCATCTTTTCTGCCTTGCTCGAGACACAGCAAGCCATGCTCCAGCAGGGCATTAGGAACCAGGTAGTGGTCATACTTGATCTGAGTCTCACTGCGGAGAATGTCAAAACACAGTGGTTGCAGTATGTGTGGACGTGAAGTCAGTATGAACAAAGCTGTTTTGCTGTTTCTATTTCAAAACAGAACTGCCTCTTTTCACCAGAGGATGCATTATAAATGTGATCAGGCTAACTGGTGATTACACACTGCAAGAAACTAGAGCACATCTGTTTTTCTAGTTTGGTTAAACATGCATATACTGTACACGTCAGTGCATATTACTAATGGAGTCTTACTTGCAGAGGACAAGAGTAAAGTAGTGTTCGGCCTCCTCCTGGTGCCCCAGGTGTTTGAGACACAGTCCCTTCAAGAGGCTCAGGAGACACTGATCATCTATGGTGAACTCAGTTCCTGACAAACGCACAACAGGACAGTTAGAACCAAATAGATTACAAAACAGGTACAGTAATTCTACAGAATATATCATTCTTTCAAAATAAAATAAAATGAGAATTTGAATCCATTAAAGACTTGGCTCTGGTAAATAATTTTGCATACTTGGGCTGCTCTCGAGTTTTGCCTGGGCCTCATGCAGTGTTTTCAGCATGTCTTCAGTCAGGTCTTTGTGTTTGCCAATGACTGTATAGCCGTTCCAGATGTACATCATCTCCTAGACAACATAGAAATACACACAAATTATACAAAACAGACAACAGAGAAGGTCATTGTGTAAAACAGGAAATAAAAGGAGGCATTGAAGAAAACATCTATCTATCTATCTATCTATCTATCTATCTATCTATCTATCTATCTATCTATCTATCTATCTATCTATCTATCTATCTGTCTATCTGTCTGTCTATGACTCATGCAAAGCCAGGGTATTTTTAAGGAGGGAAAGGTCTTCTGCTCATTCATAACCTTTCTGTTTTTTTCCAAGCCATTTTCTGGTTATTGCTTTTTCACTACCTGCTAGTAGTATTTGTAAAACAATATCTGTCCTGCTTTTTCAGCCCAGTTGGCAGGTGTCTAAATACATAACATGGAAAAAACACCCAGTAAGAAAAAATATTAGGACACTACCAAAAAATATATAAAAATGACCATAAGAAATATTACCACACATTCTCCAACACTGGCCATATTCAGGGTTGTTGCTTTTATGATCATGATATTTTTGAAGTTTTAAAAAAAAAGTTCCTTTTGTGGAATTCCCTCCGCAGATCTGAGCCTAAGATACATATGTTTTTTTCATCCACCTTGATTTAACATAAATTGTGGAAAGACCCCTTCTTAAAAGATAAATAAATCCTGAAAATGGGTTTACTGTTAGTATTAACTTTATATGCATTGATTAATATCTTAACCAGACTAATTCCTTTCTCTCCAGTATTTTTAATATGTTTGTCAAAGTAAAGAAGAAAGCATATTTCCCCATAGGTTTCTGTCAGTTGTTGAAATGTATCTAAACCATTATTATACACATTTAATATATACATATATTACACTGTAGGCTATGGATGGATATCCATAGTTGTCCAAAGTTTGAAAATCTACTAGGTCTTTATGCCAGATGTTTAGACTGCAATCCAATTACTCCCTTTGTCTAAGTGTCTCTTTTGGAGGGTATTTTTATAAATTAGAGTGGTATGCTTATTTGACTTGGCAGACTCAGCTCCCCTGAGCCTAACCCATATCCCAAATCAGCCTCCAGCCCCTAACACTGGGTCTCCAGCCCTGAGAGGGCTCTGTGTCCTCATCTTCAATCCCTGATACTGGAGAACCAGAGGGAGGGAGGGAGTTTGGTGGGCGCCGGCTAATTAATGGGGAGGCCTACAGAGCGAAAGGCCTGTGTGAAACCAAACTATTAATTTGATATTCCTGATATTTTTGATCCAGTTACTTTAAATAAACAATGCAAAACACTGTAGTAACAGTGAAAACACCTGTCATGCTACAAGTAAA